AAAAAAAAAAAAAAAAAAAAAAAAAAACAAAAAAAAAAAAAAAAAAAAAAAAAAAAAATTAAAAAGCAAAAAGCAAAAAGAAATATATCTAATTTTTAAATATTTTTATATGAATAACTATTTTTTTTTTTTTTTTTTTTTTTTCTTTTTAAATACACTTAAATTTCTAAAATTATAATATTTTTTAGACAAGTGTGGTAATTTAATTTCATTAATTATTGTAGTGAAACTGTATTTGAAAATAATTTTTTTTTTAATTATGTATAAAATATAGACAAATTAAAAAGCAAAAATATGAAAAAAGAGATAGAAATAGTTACAACAATAAAAACAAGATAATAAAATAATAACAAACTAATAAAAACAACAACAAAAAAAAAAAAAAAAAATAGAAATATTTATAGAACAGAAAAGCAAACGAGTATAACAAAAAAAAAAAAAAATTCTTTAATTGTAAATCTTATAAGCTTATGAATACCTTTAATTATATGAAATTTGTCTATTTATTATTAATAAATATAAAATTATTATTATTTGATAATTATAAAATAAGTTATTTTAAAATTTAATATATTAAATAAATTTAAAAAAAAAAAAAAAGCTTATACGAAACTGTTTCATAGAATAGCATGTGCAATGTAAATAAAATAAGAAATGTTAATTCTTTTATAGATTTTAAAATAGTTAATCTTAAAGTCTTATTGATACTTAAATGCTAGTTATAATTTTTTTCCCTTTTTGATGCTTTATTTTTTCTATAACATTCGTTGTGTAGCCTTTTTTTTTTTTTTTTTTTTTTTTTTTTTTTTTTTTTTTTTTTTTTTTTTTTTTTTTGGGTACTTAAAAATTTTAATTATATACATATATATATATTTATATAAAAATAACAAAAGTATAGACCTTTCTTTTTTTTAATTTTATATTCTATTGTGTGCAAATAATATAAAAAAAAAAAGGTATTTATCCTTACACCAAAATTTATGTAAATAAAATGCTTTGGTTTTTCTTTTATTAAAAAAGATATATATTTTATTTATTCAAATTTCATAAATTTTAAAATGTGTGTGTAAAATAAAGAAGGTAAGAGAAAAAAATAAAGAATTCTCAATATAAATAGTGAATAAATAAATTTAAATAGTGTTATAAAAAAATTGAAAAAAAAAACATTTCGTTAAAAATAATAAGAACTATAGGAAATTAATAGAATTTTTAGGATAAGAATAAAGTAAAATAAAATGTATTTTTATGGTTTAAATTTTTTATTTTTACTTTTTTTTTTAATTTAAATAATTTGTAAATTCTGTAAATATTTTACAACTAATCACAAATCTACATAAGAGATTATAATTTGGAATAAAACATAAAAATAAGAAAAGGCATATTTAGATAATAGGGTTTGAAATTCTATAAAACTGTAGGTTTTTTCTATAATTTTTTTTTAGATCATTTTTGTGTTTTTTGTATCATTTCAAATTTTGATTTTATTTTTAATTTTTTTATTTTATTTTTCTTTAAAAATAAATTACAATATAGATTGTATTTTTGTATTTATATTATTTCAAGTATCTCTTAATAATATTCATAAAATATTCAAAATATTAATTTGTTCTATAAAATAAAATATTATGTTTGTTTTTTTTTTTTTTTCTAAAAGAAAATAATATTTTTTCTAAATTAAATACAACATATTCAATTATTATGAAGTATAATAATAAAAGAAAAAAAAAAAATGGAAAACAAAAATATAAATAAGTATAAAGAAAAATCAAAAAAAATATATATATAGATTAAAAAAGAAAAAGAAAAGAAATTTTTTTTTTTTACATAGTGCGTTTTGGTGCACCATAGAAGTATCATATGTCTTGTAAAGAAATAAAAATGTATATTTTGTGATAGAATATTAAATTAAAATAGAAGATAACAAAGATGTATTTTTAAAAGATAATAAATAAATAAATCAATGAATAATTATAATAATATAAAAGATATAAAAATAATTAAAAGAAGGGAGAAAAAATTAATTATATTTGTTGCTTTTTGTCTACAGAAAAAAAAAAAAAAAAAAAAAAAAAAAA